GGAGGTAGTTGCCTCCAGGTGAAGTGGCTTTTTTTCCTTACAATCCTCCATTCCCTTTGGCCCACTGACTCCTTAGTGAGGAGTGGAGGACCCCCTTCCAGGGGCTTAAATAAGTTACATGAGCAGAGTGGAGTCACAAGGGCTCCAATCAGCCATGTAAGAAGCAATATATTCCTAAGAGATCAGGGTAGGACTGTAAACTTTTAAGAAAACAAAGTAGAGCCCTCCTGAGGGCTCCTTTAGTTCAGGGTGGAGCATCCTCTGTGACCTCTCTTAGCCACCTGAGAAACACTGAGCTCTGAAGAGGTCCAGGTGGAACCTTCCTGGGAGCTCCCTCAGCTACCTGAGACAACGACCCGCTAACTCCCTAGAGAGAATAGTGGAAGCCCACAGGGCTCTGTAAGTACCTGAGCAAGGTGGCCCCTGTTCAGAAGCCTCAAACCAGCTATTTCAGGAACAATATCCACTACACTTATTTCAATAATAAAAACTTTGGTAAAAACAAAACTTTAAAAACTTTAAGTAGAGGGATAAGCTCTTCTTCTATATACTCACAACTGCTTAAATTGACCTGTACTAGCTGTTCCTTTGTTCTGCTCAGGGCATCAGGCACATATTTTTTAAATAGTCTGAATTCTGTTAGAAGTAAAAACCAAAGGATAAAAATATCTTAAAATGTTTCAAATAGCCTGGAATAAAAATAATAATCCATTAATGTATCTTCCAAGTATCCGTTAGGCAAACTGTGAATGACTGAAAATCCGAAACCTTCGCAAACATACGCAACTGTGAAGCAGGGAAATGCTTCTGAGAGGATTCCATAGTAATGAGGGTAATGTGACTCAACAGCAGAGAGTGAAAGGGGTGGAATGCAAGACAGAGGGACAAAGGCACCGAAGCTGAAGGCAAAGACAGGGGTCTCAGCCCTCGATTCTAGGCACTTGTTCCACCGACCCGACCTCTCTCCTCCTAGGTCTCTGGCAGGAATTACAACTTTTAGTTAGTTCAGTCTTTAAATGAATGAGTTACAGCTACACAAACATCAGTCAGGAGAGTTTTTTATTAGTACAGGTTTGCAGTACACGATGTTTACGCTCTTTTGGGGAATCGGTACATGTACATGATGAGACAGGGTGGAAGAAATAAAAACTAGGCGGGAAGAAGACAAGGATATCAATATTTAAAAATTGTGCTTTTAAGAAAAACTGCATCTCCAAGACACAAAATTACTCAAGCCATTTCCCCTCCAGGAAAAACAATTTTAGAAGTTCCTCATGGTCCTTATGAAAAGCCTGTAAACCCAGGCTCTTAACCTGGCCTTTTCACCTGTACACTGCACTTCCTCCTCTTCAAGGGGCAGCAGTAATGGCAGGCAGTGTATCTCAACTTCAAACACACGGCAGAAAGCTTGCACTGGAACCCGACAGAACTGAGAACTGTAGATCACCCAGCTTGCAGACACCCTTTTAAGTGTATTCCACCCTGGTACGTAATGCATTATTAGTGACCCTTCCCACTGCGCCAGTCACTGGAGCCCCCTGCAGCGTGTTTCGATCTCCTGTCTGGTGACAGGACTTGGCGGGGAAAGGAAAGAAAGAACAACAGACAAATCAGAGTGTACATCGCAGGGATGTGAGACCACCAGTTGCTCTCTGGAAGCAAAAGGCCCCGAATCTCCAGCTAGCAAGCATTTTGTCAGCCAGTGTAGGGAAGGGAGTAGCGTGCTCCTCCTGGAACAGCAGAGAGGCAGTGATTGAAAACTCAGGTTGAACATCATAAAGGAACAAGACAAGGTGCATCCCCACACCTGGATGCTAATCTCATTGACCAACAGGAAGGTGATTTCTGCATTCTAAAACTAGACCACAAGGCAGGCAGCCCCAGGAGAGTGTAGGACAGATGCTACATCTATTTACATTCCTGGCCCACAGCAATGCACCTCCTTTCTCTGAGCACTTGCACTCTACACCTGAGCGGCTCCTAGTAAACCCTTCTCTTCCTCTTCCTGATGCATACTGGAAATTCTTTTTCTGTGACTGGAGTCAGTGGACCTGCAAATCTGTTTTAAACAGGATGGGATGAATTCCTCGTTTCACCCTCGGGGTCTTCTCAGCTCCAGCCCCGGTAACACATGACATATCTTCAACTTTCTATTTATCTCCCTTTCCCCCTTCCACCCACCTCCATCAACCTTTTGATAACATTGCCTGCTTTTTTTTCTATATCTTTGTGATGCATACTGTGTATATTCCTTGACTGAAGTTGCTACATATATATCTCCTTTTCCTCCCCTTTGAGCATTTTTCACTTTGAGCACTTTTTCATGTTTTTATTGGCCATTTGTATATCTTTCTTCTATAAATTGTATATCCATTTGACTTGCTCACGTTTTATCGGTGTCTTTTATTTTTGATAGTCTAATTTTTTTTAGTTATGCATATAATCTAGATATTAGTATTCTGTCTAAAGTATAGTAGCAAATCTTTTACCCATTCTATAAGTTGTGCTATCACTGGGTTTCTTTTTGCTGCAAAGGAGCTTTTTAATTTGATATGATCCCATTTGTTGATTCTCCATACTTATTTCTGTGTAACTGGTGTTCTGTACTGAAAGTCCCTGCCTACTCCTATGAATTAAACAGTTTTACCTATGTTGTCCTCTAGCAGTTTAAGTGTTTCTGTTCTAACATTTATGATCCATTTTGATTTTATTTTATTATTATTTTATTTTTTTGAGAAAGGCTGTCACTATGCAGTTCAAGCTGGCTTAGGACTCGCTAAGTGTTGGGCTTTTGGTCAAGAATTTCTTAAGATGCTGTTTATCATCAAAGTATTTAATTTTCACCAATTTTGAAAGATAGTTTTGCAACATATATCATCCTGGGCTGGAAATTGTTTTCCTTTGGCACTTGAAACACTTCACTGCAACTGTCCTAGCCTTTCGGGTTTGTTTTGAGAGGGTTGCTCTAGTTCTAATGGGTTTTCCTTTATAAGTGATTTGTTGCTTTTCTCTAAGCACTTTTAAGATTATGTTTTTGTGCTGGACTTCAAGGATTTGGGGTATGATCTGTCACTGGGTGGCTCTTTTCTGATGGTGGCTATTAGGGTTTCTCTATTCCTATTATTTGTATGTTAAATTCTTTTCCCTTATTTGAAAATTTTTCAACTACTATTTCAGTAAACATGTTTCTTATGCCATCTTTGCTGTCCTCTGTTTTTGCACTAACTCCAGTTAATCTGAATTTAGTCTTCTTTGTGTAATCTAGAAGCTTTTGGATTCACTTTTCATGTTCTCTTTTTGTTTTTCAGATATACTGCATAATTTGGTCACCAGCAACATCCTGTCTTCTAGTCCTCTTACCCTGTCCTCACACTGGTCACTTCTTATGATTAAACTTCTTATTTAGCAGAAGTTTTAATCTCTTATATTTCTATTTAGAACCTTTGTGGAGGTAGAGTCTTTCTATGTAGTTCAAGCTGACTTTAATCTCACTATGTAGCCTAGGCTAGCCTGGAACTTGCAGCAATCCTTCTGCCTCAGCCTTCCAAGTGCTGGCAATATGGCAAGTGAATTCATTGAGAATGGCATTCACAAGAGACTGAAAGAGCAGGAACAATCAAATCTTTATTGAACGGGCTGATGGACGGTCTCTAACCAGGAGCCAGAGAAGATGCCCACCCTGGCCTGAGTCTCATCTTGGTTTAAGTACATTTTAGGTTCCCATTTTAGGTTTCCATATTACCATTACCTCATTTTTTGGAATCTTACAAGAATGTCACACAATTATCACAAAGTTTACTTATTTCAGAAGCTGTTGGACAGCCAGATTCCAGATGACCATTGCAATTTAACTTTTAGCCTACTTCCCCATCTATTCTGTTTGTTCTGTTACCATTTTATGACTCTATTTTCCCTTAAGTGTGTTGATAACTGACCAAGGGGCCTGGGGTGAAGAGTGGGGTCAACCACAGTTTACGTGAACTTCTTTTAATATGGAGTTAAAAAAGAAAATGGAGTCTCTCTTGCCCTCTCACTGGGATTACAGGTGTGTGTCACCATACACAGCTCATTATTTAGAGGCTTTTTGTGGACTCTGCTTCTTCTCAGTGGCCATCATGCATGGCTTGCATCATTCTGTTGAAGTTCTTTGAGTTGTTTATTATTGTATTCTTTAGACTTACTGATCCTTTTATTTGGGTCCAATTTCTGATTACTTATGTCTTCTGTAGCTTGCCAAATGCCTGACTTATTTTGTTATCATCTCTGATATTATTTTGAATATTCAGTGTGTATGGCTTTTAATTTTTTTACCCTTTCATCTTGAGTTTCATTGGCTTTACTTCTCATGTTTCTATTTTTGTTTGTTTATTTTTTGTGCAAAGTCTTGCAGTTTGATTATAGTGGAAACCTTTGTTTCTAATATGGGGACCTCTCTAGTTGAAGTCTACTTTTCAGTGGTGTCCGCTGTGCATGGCTCTAAATACTGGCCTTTGCTTCTATCCCAGGAGCCAAGTTTTCCAGGAATGGGCCACGGTATTGTTACTGACTTCAAGAATGTTCAGATATTATCATCCTGAAAATCAATTAATGATAATAGCTCTGTCATTTTGGCTATGGTAATAAAATCATTAATTATGGCATCAAGTACGAACTGATCATGATAAACCCTAAGGACCAGTAAGGAACCACCTTTTCCAATGGAAAAGATACCTATAAGTGTAGTCTGAACACTAAGGCAAAGCAAATGTTGACCTATAATTGAGCTACACTAAATATCTATTACATGGAACCATTTTACTTCTACTAACAATGGGACAGTATTCAACAGGAAAAGCATAAATGTAACTACCTGTCCAGAAATTTTTATTTGTTATTTCTTAATTGTTTTTGTCTTTTTGAGAGAAGGTCTCACTATGCAGTTCAGGTGGGTCTTGAATTCACTTTGTAGCCCACACTGGCCTCAAACTTGCAAGGATCCTCTTGCCTCCACCTCCAGAGTGCTGGGATTACAGGTGTGCACCACGACGCCCCACCTAGAAATTTTTAAAGATTAGTAGTTATACTAGTAAAGTAGAGAGGGTATGGAACCAACAAATGATAAAAGCAAAATTTGAAAAATTAATCCTTGTGATAAGAGAAGGAGTAGAAAAAATTGAGGTAGGGTGTTCTTTAGGAGGAAAAGGAAATAAAGACTGATGGAAAACAGTCATAGGAAAGAGCAAACAAGAAAAAGAAAGACACAAGAGAACAAAACTAAGAAATGAAAAAAAAAAATAAGGGAATGAGCTGAAAAGGAACAGAATAGGAGATAAACTAAAAAGGGAAAAACAGAATGAAGAAAACCTCAAATCTCCAAAAAAATCAAATGAAAGAAAGAAAAATAGTGCGAAAGAAGATTGAGTCAATGAAAAAATTCCTGTGTTATTGAACAAATGGCTTCCTTCTAAGATCTGCAGTCTTGGGATTCCACCAGTCACGATTTTCTACCCTGAGCTGTGGAGTCTGAGGGTGCTTGACATGACCTTCCTGTGCCAGGGCCCCTCTGTCCTGTCCACCCAGAATGCTGTTAGCAGGGAAGTCAAGATGAGTCCTTGCTCCCTCCAGTACACAGAGAACATGAGCAGCCCCCTGGTCTCTGCCGGATATAAGCTGCAGGGTAGGGGCTCGAGTGGAATGCTGGACTTACCGTCCACAGCGCTGGGACGTGGTTGCTCCCTTCTCTTTTCTGGCATTGTTGTCATCCAGGATCAGGTTGGTCAGTCCTCACCTGCACTGCCCAGTGCCAAGGAGCAGCAAATGGAGAGCTGCCTTGGACTACGCTGGGTGGTGGCACCCTTTTGTCGGGGGCACAGCTTGTCTGAAAGGGGTCTACTTGCTTACACGGGGAGGGGACACTCTTGTCCTGTGCGAGCCTGCTTACTCATGACAGGGAGGTAGGTGCACAAGCGTCTGCTTGGTTGCACACAAGAGGGGTGCTGCTCTTCTGGTGTGGGTATTGATCTTCGGGAGGGAGAGCACTGCTTGTTCAGTGTGCACCTTCTTCCTCACTGATTAGAAGTTTCTGGAAATTATAAAAATTTATATTTTATTACAGAATAACAATAAGTTATTGTCTTAACACATTCATGACTGGGCCATAATTCATACATTTCGCTGCCAGGTGGCTCTGATGGGAATTTGATCATTTCTTATAGCTTGTACCACTGGTGGCACAAGGTGACCCACTTCTCAGGGGGTTTTTGATTATAGTTGTGGAAAGAAAAACGTTGATTTAGAAACAAGATGTCATCATAATACACTTCCTTAAGAAAAGTATTGAAATGGTATACAAGTTGTAAGGCAGATGATTTGTGGTACAGCAGATGTGTATTGTATACACCAGCAACTGGGTATGTATTTGTAAGACCTCCTAGCTAAAATTTAGAGAATTAATTAATGATAATCTATTTATGAACATAAATAGATTTCTTTCAATTTAATGAAACAAACTCATTGATTACTGTAGTATTTTTAATTGGTATGAATAGTATTAATTAATATTTACATTTGGTCAGTAATTACTTAAATTCAAGCAACTAAATTTCCTCCATTTATAGACTTTATTAATGTTATTAAAAAGACTGATGAAAGTGATTAGATCCTTTCTACCACCAGTAGTACAAACTTCCCAATGAGACAACCATGCATGTATCAATGGTGATTCAAACTGTTGGGAATGTATTAAAATAATGATTTCATCTTGATGTATTTTTATTTGTGAACTAACGGCATATTTGAGGCTAGTGAAATTTAAGAAATTGAATAATTCCAGATTTTAAAGCACTCTTATGACTTTCTGCCCTGACAATATTTGTAGAGAAAAACAACTCCATATTCCAATCAATTATTATGAAATTTTTACAAAATTAAACTTCTGAGTGAAACCTGGGTTATTTCTGGCAAGAAAATTATTTCTCTGATGGAAAAGGTTCTTTAAGATCCTAGCTCAGAAACAAAAGCTAAACAAAACCATATGATATGGCATAAAATCTACTAATGAGCATACGAAGTTACAGCAGAAGGGAGAGTGAAAAGCAGGCAGATGTAATGAGGGATTCAAAAATCATAACTGCTATCACATCTGTGGGTATTTTGAGGTCTTTTTAATAAATATTGACTCAGAATAAATCTATTTTCCCACAAATGACTCAGGTTTCTTTTTCTTTGTTGCGGAGTAGTACTTCCTTGTGTATAAAAACCACGCTTTCTTTATCCATCCACCTGGTGATGGACACAAGGCTACTTCCAAGTTCTAGGAACTACGGATTGTGCCGCTGTCAACATAAGTACGTATATATCACAGCAATCCGTCATGCTTAGCTTGTATAACTCGATGGTCTCTCGGTGGTCCCCGGGAGAAAACGGCGAGAGAATTTAGAAAACAAAGACAAGAGATAATAGCCGGGATCAGGTGGCGATCCTCTCTCCTGAGCAGAGAAGGGGCACTGCCCCCAAAACAGTAGAGCGTTTATTTATACCCTCCAACGGTTGGTTAATTTCCGCCTGGCTGCCCAGCCACCAGTTAACAAGTTACAATGGCTTGTTTACTCCGAGGAGCTCCCGTATTCTCCCGCTGGCTTCATCCTGCACCTGTAATTATTTTCCAGTTTCAGCGGCTCCCAGCATTACCAATTTCTTGAAGATATCTGCAAGTGGAGTAGCTTGGTCAAATAAACTACTGCTAGTTTTTGGACGAATCTCCACACTAATTTCCACAGTGATCTCATTAGCGTTCCCTTTGCCCCAGAGCCTTTGGTGTCAGTTGATTTCTGGATTTAGTCATTCCTTCTGGAGTAAGATATAATTCAAGTGTCATTTTAACTTGGTACTTTTAAGGTCTAGAGGTGTTGAAGATTCTTCATATAGCTATTGGTACTTCTTTTTCCACGGAGTATCTATTCGTTTCACTTGATCGGTTTTTGTTCGGGTCCATTATTGTGTGTTCTGGGGTTCTTGATATATTCCACATATTAGTCCTTTGCCTGAGGAGTGACTGGCATTTTTTTCTAGTTTGTAGGCTATCTTTTCACCGGATGTGATTGCTTCCTTTGCTGTACAGCTTTTCATTTGATATAATCCCATTTGTGGATTTTTGTTATTGCTTCTTCTCCAGTGATCATTCTATGCACAAAGTCCTTGCCTATATCTATGATCAAAAGTTTTTCCTATTTTTTCTTCCAATTAAATGTTTCTCTTTAATATTTATTTTTCTAATCTATTTTTATTTTAGTTTAATACATGGTGGTATATCTGGTTCTAGATTTAATCTTCAACGTGTACAGCCAGTTTTTCCAACACCATTTCTCGAAGAGTTTATATTACCTCCAAAATACATTTTCTAAATCTTCTATTCTGTCCTATCAATCCATATTTTCATCTTTGTGACAGTAGCACACTGCTTTTGTCACTGTTGCTTTGTAATACAGCTTGAAATGTAGGATTGTGATGGCTCCTACTTTGCTCTTCTCCACGTTTTGTTTTTCTGTTCTGGGTCTCTTCTGATTCCACATGAATTTTAGGATTTTTATTTTGAGTTCTAGGAGGAATGCTATTGGTGTTTCAGTTGGGATTGCCTTAGAACTATATACTAGTTTTGATTGTATGGCTATTTTGACAATATTAGTTTTGCATATCCAGGAAAAACGTATATCTTTCCATTTTTGAAAGTCCTTGTCAATCTTCTTTTTCAGAGTATTATTTTGTTTGTTTGTTTTTGTTTTGTTTTTTTTTTCCGGTACTGGGAATCAAATTCACGACCTTGCACTTGAGAGGCAGGTGCTGTGCCGCTGAGCTAAATCCTCAGCCCCTATTATTTTATGTTTAAGAAAAGAAAATAACAATGATGAAGGCAAAAACAAAATGATACAAAAACATTAAAAACAGTACAGGATTCCAAAACAAGATGATAGGAATTAACAATGACTGTTATATTACATATTATTATCTTCAACGAAGTTGCTTAGATTATCAGATGTAAGGCTGCAAGATTGATCAAACAATTAAAGACAATAACAATTAATAAAAAAGCACTAGAAATGATACAGAGTTTCATTAAGCAAGGTGGTAGGAATACAGCAATTGTTATATTGCATACTGTTGTCTTCAAATTAGTTGTTCCAATTACCAGACATAAGCATGCTAAATTGGTCAAGGGAGAAAAAAAATTTAATCATTAACTGTTCCCTTCAAAATTTAAGCAGTAATTGTTCTTTTCAATAAACCAATAGACATCAGCAATACACTTATTTCAGCTATTCTTGTATATATATTCTTTTTCTCTTTTAATTTTTTAATTTTAAAGATAAAAGAACCAAAACATATTAACAGATACACAAATAAAGCAATCTAAAAACAACAAAAACAATACAGAATTTCTGACAAGGTGATAAGAAATTAACAATGGTTGTTGTATTACATATTGTTATCCTCAAATTGGTTACTCAGGTAAATAAATATAGGCATGTTAGAGTATTATTTTTAATAGAAGTCTTTCACTTCCTTGTGAAGTTAATTCCTAAGCATTCAATTTTTCTTGAAGGTACTGTCAATGGTATTGTTTTCTTAATTTCTTTCTCAATGGATTTATTATTGGTGTTCAAGAATGCTATTAAATTTTGTGTGTTGATTTTGTTTACTGCTATCTTGCTAAATTTGTTCCTTTGTTCTATAGATCTTTTGGTGGAACTTTATGGGTTTTCTGTGTAAAGGATCATGTCTTTGGGGAATAAGGACAATTTGACTTTTTCCTTTCTAAAACATATCCATTTTATTTCTCTCTCCAGTCTGATTGTTCTGGCTGGAGTTTCAAGTACTGTACTGAGAAGAAGTTGAGATAGTTCAATCCTTCCCTTTTTTTCTGGTTTTAGAGAAAAAGACTTCAATTTTTCCTATTTAATATTATGTTGGTAACAGGTTTGTTTTAAACAGTTTTAATCTAATAGAGATAACGTCCTTCTATACTTACTGTCATCAGAATTTTATCATTAACTGATGTTGGATTTTGTCAACAGATTTTTCTGCATGTATGGAGATGATCATATGGTTTTTGTTCTTAATTCTCTTTGTGTGATATATTATATTTTTTGACATGTTTGCTGAACTATCCATACCCCCTAGGATGAACCCTCTTTAGTCAGAACTATATTCTTTATTAATGTTCTGCATTCTATTTTGGCAGTATATTTTGTGACCATTAATGAGACTTGTCTATAGATTTCTCTTTCAGTTGCGTTTGTCCGGTTTTGCAATCAAGGTAGTGATGGCTTCCAGCAATGAGTTTGGTAGTACTCCTTCCCTTTCAATTTCATTAAGGAGTTTGTGGAATAGTAGTGTGGAGAATTCTCTAAAATTCTTGCAGAATTCAGTGCTGAGTTCATTATTCTGAACATTTTGTACTTTCTAAATTTTTTAACACCTCAATTTCAATGTTTGTTTTTGGGTTATTCAGAATGCTTATGTTTTCTAGGTTCAGTTTTGATAATTCGTGAATACCTAGGAAACTTCATTTCTGCTGGGTTTTCCAATTTATTGAGTACAGATTGTCAAAGTATTTATTAGTAATCTGGATTTTGGCATACTCCATTTTTTTGCATTTTCCTTTCTAATTGCATCAATATGGGCCTTTTCTTAATTTGTAATATTTTAGTATATGTGCTGCTGAATCAAGCACACTTTATTTGTAATATTAGATAAGATTTTGTCTATTTTGCTTTTTCTCTAAAGAACCACTTCTTTGAATCATTGGTTCTGGATATTTTTTATTTTCAATTTCATTAATTTTTGCTTTCCCCTTTGCAATTTCTTTCTTATACTCCTTTGAATTTAAATTTTTCTTGCTTTTCTAGGACTTGAAGTACATCACTAGTTTATTTATGTGAGCTTGCTTGGTTTTTCTTTTTGTTGTGGTGGTTTGTTTTTGGTTTTCCTAATGTAGACATTCATAGCTATGAACTTCCCTGTTAGGACTATTTGCATTGCCACCAGTAGGTCTTCATGTATTGCACTGGAAGTATCCTTTGATTCTAGGAACTCATTTTTTTCTTAATTTTTTCTGTGACCACTGATTATTCATGACTGTATATTGTAATCTCCATGTGTTGGCAGAATTCCTAGGGTTTCTTTTGCCACTGATTTCCATTTTCATTGCACTATAATCTGATAATATGCATGGGATAATTTTAGTTGCTTCATCTGATAATTTGTGGTATATTTTGGAGAAAGTTCCATGTGCTGCTGAGAAGAATGTGTATTCTGTTTTTGGGTGGAATACTCTTTGTGTGTGTGTGTATATATATATACATATATATATATATGTATATATATATAATATAATCCATTTGTTAGAAAGAATGTGTCAATTCTGATATTTGTTTGTTGATCATTTGTATAGTTTATCTGTTTGTTTGAGATAGTGGGGTATTGAGGACTCCCAGGATAATTGTGTTGATCTTTATCTGATATTTTATGTCTAATTTGTTTTTTGAAGGTGGTTACATTGGTGTTTGGCTCATTTGTATTTATAAATGTTTCTGCCTTGTGTATTGTTCCCTTAACTAATATGTGTTGACCTTCTTTGCATTGTCGGACCAGTTTTGACTTGAAACTTTGTCTGCAAAAAGACACCTAGTCCTGCTTGCTTTCAGGTTTTGTTGTATGCCATATGCTTCCCTATCATTTGATTTTTAGCGTGTGAAGTTGTTTTCTGATTATGTGTGTGTCTTTTATATAGCTTACCGCTTGGTTTTGTTTTTTGATCCAATCTGCCAGTCTGTTTCTTTTGTTTGGTGAGGTAATAATACAGACCATCATGGTGCTCTTATGTGAGTGCTGAAACCTGCTCTACCTTTCCTGCAAGGTGCAGTCAAAAGAACCTATCCTAGGGCTGTGTTTACTCCAGCTGCTTCTACTTTTCATGTCCCTCCATGAGCTCCAAGTCTCAGGTTTTTTCGTGTAAGTTGTGGCCTGTAGAGGCCTCTCTGTCCATATAATCAGGCTGTGACAACTTTCTCTGCTGAGGCGCATCTGTGATCACATCAGTAGGTGGAGAAAGCCAAAAGCTCGCTCATCTTTGTGCTGGATGTGGGTAGTGTGATGGTGGGCTGAAGCGGTCCATGTACTGACCACACTTTTGGGTTCAGCTCCTTCTACAAACCAAGAACCACCAGTCCGGATCTTTCCCTGTGCAGGGCAGGATCCTCTCGTTCTTTCTAGCCTGAGATTAAGCTCCTCAGGGCATCTTGTCCAGACTGCACCCTCTGTGACTTTATTTTGTGACCAAACTACATGCTGTGGTTGAGTGACCCCAGAAACCACGGTGTGTGATTGTTATATAGTTCGTTCTTCAACAATTAACCACTTTCCCAAATTACTCCTGTTTAAACACTTTCAAATATGGCTGGTTCTACTATATATTTCTTCTCTAACCCAAGCCTGCTCTGGAAGGAGTTAATTTCAGAATAAAGTGCCACGCTGCTTTCTCAGTGCACAAGAACTGTGAGCTTTTAATGGGGCTAATGCTGCTAATGCTGCTTCTCCCCAGAGCTGCTGACATAGTTCTGGCTCACCGTTTGTTACCAAAGATACAACCTCCACCTGAGAACCGAGGATAGCTTTCCAGGCTGCTTCGTTCTTTTCCTTGCATTATGCTCAGTTTCTCCAGCTTCTCTGTAATTTCTAATTTTGCTCTCAACTCCTTCTTGATTGCCAGGTATCTACTTCATTTTTCCTTCACACTGTTGTTTTCCTGATGTCTGATTCTAGATCTTAAAGAGACTGTATTTTGGTGCCAGTCTGGCTACATCACTCTTATTCTCTCAGTCTGTTTCCTCATCTTTGTAATGGAGATATGATCGTTCATACACAGTTTTAAAATATCCAGAGAAGTTTAGTCACTTAATAAGCACTGTCTTTCCTCCCCTATCCATGGAAAACAGATATAGCATATGTTCAAATATCTAAATCTGTTTATAATATTCTTAACAATAAATTAAATGGTCTAAAAGTAGTCTGCTTAGTGTCTCTGATGGGTTATTGTTCATACATCTGTGGTGAAGTTAATAGGTAATTCCCCAAATAGGGTAATTTCCCCTATATTGTCAATGGGGAAAAACATTTCATTGCCAGGCACTTTTATGAAGACTGCCATTGGAAAGTGACTTCGAGGCCTTGCTATTTTTTGATAGAACACAGTCTGTTACCAAATGCTTCTCTTCACTCTTCCCCACCACCACCCCTTCTTCACGAAGAAATCTCAAAGGTGCTTTTCTTCCTGACGACTACTCTTACTATCACTGCTCAGCAAGAAGCTTACTGCTTTGATTTCTACGGCTCAGAAATTATATCCGGCACTGACCAACACTCTTCTCAGCTATGCACATTTGAGCAGCATCTTCTCTTCTCAGTACCAGATCAGACATTTTTCGGGGTAAAGGCTGCCTTTATTATTATTCCCCCACCATGTAATTAACTCCCTGCCTTTTAGTTTGTTTTCTTCAGACGTTATTGTGGAATGGGAGGTCTTTAACATCAGGAAGGGATATAGTAAATACTTTTTTATATTTTTCTACTAGTATTGAGCTAATGGAATTTTGTAAAGAGTCACTTAGTAATTTGAAAAGTATTATATAGAAGTCATGAGATTTGCATGGATTCCTTATAACTGGGACAACACTTCACAAACATACTTACCCATGAGGTGCACAGTTACTGAGCATCTACTATGTGCAAGACAAAACAATATGTATTTTATATTTATAATAAACACCGACTTTCTTTTTTTATTTTAAAAATAAAAGGAGGAAAACATTAACAGACAGACAACCTTTCACAAAATAGCAAAAGAACAGTATAGACAACACAGAGTTACAAAGTGGTAGGAAATTAACAATGCTTGTTGTATTAAATATTGATATCTTCAAAGTGGTTTCTCATGAACACAAATAGAGACATGCAATACTGATCAATCAAGGACTCACTGACAGTTTTTTTCAGCAAAGAAATAGAAGAAAGCAGATCAACTATGTTAACTATCCTGTATATACCTACATACATAACAACAAATCCCAGGATATTTTCCACAGGTAAGAGTTAATATAGTTTACTTGCTAAGGTTATATCACCACCAAAATATAACAACTAGTTGATTAAAACATTTCCAAATAGGATTTGAGCTGTTAGTGGAATGAGAAGACATTTTACATCTGTTGGCAAAAGTCATGGGCACTGCAGCCGTATAACATGCCAAAAATATCTACTGAACAGTCCATGTCTGTGCCTTTCATTCTGCAGTAGAGTTGGCAGAATGGATACTTTCAGTCCTTCTGAGCTAGTGATGGAACAAATACACTCCTACATCTGCAGATATGTGATTCTAGGCTTTGTGTTGAATTTGGTATCTAGTGCCAGCTGTCCATCACCTGAGGTGATGGTAAAATATTACTTATTCTCAAAAGAATGCTCTATATCAAAACCATGCTACTGTTAATAAGGCTTTGATTTTAGTGACTAAGTGCCAAAAACATTTTAAGCACTGTGTTATCCTTCCCATCAATTTAGATCAGCCAGACATAACATATGTGAGAAGTTATCTAAATGTTTCAGCAACAAAACTCAGATGATGAAAGCTTTGCCCTCACTAGGCAGCATCCAGTACTGATCTCCCAGTTGCTCTTGTTCTCCCTTCTTTATTGTCAAATCTGAAGCACATGACTCTTGTGATATCTGCTGGAATGGTACGGCATTATTGTTTGGGATTCACCATATGTCTCTTTGATGTCTGACCCAGTAGGTAGCTTGGCGAAATTTCAGTTTGGCACTTATTATTATGAGGATTTTGATTTTTCCCCTTGCTTCTGGTTCTATTCATGCTGTATCATACAGACTCATACATAGCCATCTTTGATACCAAAGAGAATCACAAGAAGTCAAGCTCTTATAACTGGATCCTTCTCCCCCAAATACTTGCTACTTGAGGGAACTGATATAGTGAGTCTACCTAGTTTAAAACACTGTCTTGGTTACTTTTCTCTCTTTTCTGAGGCAAAGTACCTGACACCCAAAATTAAGGAAGGAAAGGTTTATTTACCTTACGGTTTGCGGAAGTTTCAGTCCATACTTGGCTGACTCCAAGGCAGAGTGGCACAGGGCAGAGGGCAATTGTTCATGGTGGTGGAGAACAGCAAAAGCAACAAGAGCAAAAAGGGGGCAGTGGCAGAGAAGAGCAAGCCTCTTTTCCTTCCTTATTTTGTAAGCAGGCTCCTCCACCCAGGGGGGGTGTAGCATTCACATAATCTCCACGCCCTCCTCTTGCTCAGGCTCAGGATGCATAGAAAGTAAGCACCCTGGCTCCCTGTTGAGTCACATAGTTAGCCTTCTAAACTTCTCAAATTGACACAATGAACAACCTTCCAGAAGGGTAAGGGCGTGTCCTTCTCACCCCAGGATGTAGTACTGCTGAGTCACTTACACAAACCTCTAGACTCCCCAAGTTGACACAATGTAGCGACCATAACAAACACAAGCCTTCCTCATTCTGCTTTTGAGAGCTTTCATTTAAAGACAATACACATAGTTGTGACTATTGTGCTGATTTGAGCACAAAGAAAGAACAAAGAAAAGGATGGAAATGAGTATAATGAGCATGTGGATTCAGTCTCCTTATTTTTCTGTGGATTAGTGAAGGTAGGAAAGGTATATATATATATATATATATATATATATATATATATATATATAGTCTGGTTCTCAGGCTCTCTGAATTAAATGCTATGTTCTTAATTGAGCATCTCTTACTTCCTATATTTATTATATTAGAAGTTATGCATTCTATGAAATACATTAAAAACAACAAATTTCATAATCATCGCAAAAGTCAAGTCACAATTTTGGTAAATATGAATGACTAAGCTGATCTGAGAGATTCCTTATTCTCCGTCAGATACCATTGTCAAGGACAAAGCTAGACATTAACTAGAGTCAAGAGGTTCGAAAGAGGATGTAGACCTTGGTAGCCAGGAGCTGAAGTTTCAAGCACTATATGGGAAGGTACCTCTTTTTTTTTTTTTTTTTTTTTTGGTTTTTCTCCGG